TAACTTTTTATTCAAAGATAAGTTGCAAAGATGTGTGCACAGAACAGGAACTAGAGGTCAGAGTTCAGATATTCATCAACTTAACCTACAGTGACACACACCAGCATTTTCAAATACAGATCATGACCTCATAGAGCTCTCAGGCTGCAAAAGTCTGAGGCATCGCATCATCACTGTTAATACCAGACAAGAAAAGGCTCTTGAATAGAGTGGGACACACATACAGCGACGGACTAATATAAAAATCGAAAAACTAGTGCCAAACAACACAGATTCAAATTTTCAGCTTCTCATTACCAACGTAGACTTGTCAACTTTTTTTCTTGCACCAGTGTTTTTAATGTAGTAAAACTGGATCCTTGTCCTGGCTTGATGACCAGAGTTCCAGTAAATACAAGTTTTTGTATTTTGCAACAATTCCTCTAACTCTTATAATGAGAAAGCTCAGGTGAGTAAGCATTTTCATGAACCCATTTCCTGATTTTATAAATATCAGCCCACATCTAATTTACATAAACACCATGTTTTAGTCTCTTTCCCATTTTGAAGAATGGCTAAGAGAAATGGCCCTCTGTGTCACAACAAATTTATATATCAGGGGAACAGGAAATAGTAGATTGGTATTTAAAAGTTGCTACACACAAGGTGCACCATATTCAGAGGTTGTGGTGCTCAACGTGGTTATCATAAAATGATAAAAAGAAAATAGATATGCCCTGCTTATGAACAGTGGAAGAACAGATGGCGCTGTAAAAAACCTGGGACAACATGCAGTTTATCATAGATCTCTCGAGCCTTTTGGTGCATGTCCACCCTCTTTTCTGTCTAAACTGTTCAATAAAGGCCATACGTACCAAAAAAATAATCTTTCAAAAAAGTTCTTGCACACTCTGAACAACTAAAATATAATTGAAATGTTTATGTAACATATGCTTTTTATTTTGAAGAATGTCTTGGTCAATAGTTGTTTGCAGGGATTTTGCTGCAAACAATTATTGTTTTAATGTGAGATCTTGATATCCTGACCCACTCAATGTACTTAAATAAAATGTGATAATATGTTACTGCAATAAATTGGTCCTTTATTTTTAAGCTCTTTAACAAGATTGCCAAGAAATGTTTAGAGCACTATAAATTATTCAGTTTTACTATTTTTACTGAATAGACTTATTAAGTTAGACACTATTAAAAACCTAGTGAAACAACTTTTTTTCCTCGCAGCAAAATGTTAATGGCTATGAAGCATTTCATTTATAAATATCTAATATCTAAAATGTCTTGACAAACTTAAGAACTGACCATTAAATACATTCTTCCACCAAAAGAACAACATGTTCCAGTTCTATCTGAATAAATGGGTGAAGACAGGGTGACAAAATACAACTTTTTAGACCTCAGACCTGCTCTCTCTGGAGTAAACCGGACTAAATTAAAAAAACATCCTTTAATGGCTGAAGTTGATTTATTAATTCATTACTAAACTGCATTTGGGCTGTGACCTTGATGAGAACAGACTATTCTCTCTGTCTGAAAAGGCTTTGACTGGACTGCTCATTACATTTTAATCACCTTGCATGATGTAATGTTTGCTCTGCTGTGTAGGTCCATTACAAGAGCATCTGCTCAGAATATGGGCGGGTTTAACGGAAGGTCCCGTACATCATCCCTCCCTCGAATTGTAAATCAATACCTCGATAATTTAGATAAAGATGAATACCTTGTTGGGTTAATAACGTTGGAGAATTTGTTGGGATGCAGAGGCAGCAGGGTGAGGGATGCGGGGCGTGTTCAGTGACCCATTTACCCCCTGCCTCCTCCTGCTGCTGCTGCTGCTGCTCCCCCCTCCTCGCCTCTGCGAATCTGATTTCCCTTGACACTGGCTCGACTTGAGAATCGGTCAAGCTCCCTGTCGCTCACACAAGCGTAAACATAGGGGGAAAAAATATAGTAAACAAACCTGACTGTCCCAAAATATGTCATCAACACTAGGGTTTGTCATATGACCAGGTAAAAGCGTCGGAAATGTGTGAAAAGTGCTGAAAGCCTCACCAGGCCCTGTCACAGCGGGTTTCTCAAACACACTATGTTTTTTTCTCTTTCTAACTCAGCCGCCCACCAGCCAGCTGCTTCCCGTCCTGCCAAATAATCAGAGGTTGCTGAGAGCAGCGACCCATTCAGGTCAGGCCAACCAGTAATGTGGCTAATGTTTACAGCTCAGCTTTACACTGTGCGCAATGTCCGCCAAACTACAAATGTTTAGCCGACAGTTATAGTTCGCCACAAAGACGTGCTTCTCTTCCTGGCCTGAACAGTTTCTACCTAGAGGGGAGACGGAGGACAGCAGACACGAGTGGTGACGACTGTGAGAGACTTGAAAAAAGGTCTCACAAAAACTTGCTAAGTCTAGTCTAAGAGGTACTAGGGCAGCCCACTGTTAAAATATGGCAAGATAAATTGTATGATATTGTACAATATTATTTGGAATGCTTACGTAACTATAGTCTTAAAAAGCAAAAACTGTAGTCTTAAGAACATGTATTAAGTGAATGTACGTGAGATAAGTGCACAATCAACACTTTATTCTTTGTTTACAAAGACATGCGCTCACATCAGTCTCACTCTACGCCCAGTTTAATGCATGAACTATAAACCCGTCTTGGTTTTCACTGTTACTGGAGCATAAAAGAAGCCTTACAACAAGAAACACTTAGCCTGGCGGGGGTCATCACTGTTTTACTGGAAACTTATATTCAAGTATTATATTATTTTGAGCAGAGGGAATTCAGTGTTTGGTTTTAAAAAAAACTATTTACAAATAAAAATCTGAATAGGGTGCCAAGCAATGGTATTAATCAACCTTTACTCCGTTACCTCTAAATAAAATCCAAGGCAACAAACTGCATTCACAAGCCATCTTAGACAAACTAGTACATCTGTACAGTTGTTCTGCGAAGGCGTCAGGGGTTTATTAAAGACCATTAGCAAACAAACAACATTATGAAAACCAAATATCACAGCAGATAACTTCTGTGGAGTTTAGTGAAATCCGTCAGGTCACATGTGCAACTCTGCATAGATCGTCCTAACAAACTGCGTGAGTGTGTAAAAATGAGACTAGTGACCGAGGCCACCAGAACACCTCCGACTATGCGAAAGAAATTACAAGCTCCAGGAGGTGAGACAGGGAAGGCTCTACAGCCAACAACTATTGCCAGTTTTCTTGACCTGTCAAAGCTTTATGAGAGACTGGCACAGAGCTTGAAGGTATGTGGGAGATTACATGGCAAAGTGGAAGAAAGTTCTTTAAACAGATGAGACCAAAATGGAGCTTTTTGGCCATCATGGAAGATGCTATGTTTGGACGATACTTGCAAAGGAGATAAAACAAATATAGCAAAATATCGAGAAATCCAGGACAACCTGTTTCCCTCTGCAAGAGAACTACAGCTTCAGAGAACAACTACCCAAAGCATCCAGCTAACACAACGCAGGAATGTTTTGAAGACGATAAGGTCGATGTTCTGGAGTAGCCCAGTCAAAGCCAAGATCTCGATCCAACAGAGAATTTGTGGTAGGACTTGAAAAAGGCTGTTCGCAGAAGATCCCCACATAACCTGGCACAGCTTGAACAAGGACAATTGCAGCGTCCGGATGTGCAGCCTGACTGAGACCTATACACACAGACTTCATGCTGTTAATACAGCCACAAATATACTAAACATAATGAAAAGGTACAATATACTGCATTAAAGTGTCAAAAATAAATCCACAGATGAAAGAAAATCTTGTTGAGTGTTGGTTTATGCGACACAGGTATGCAGTGTTAGTTTTAGACTGATTTGATTAAAGAGTTTATTACAAGCATTTTGTAATTTTTGCATTTTGTTTTCACTGTTCTATTACTGCTTCCTGATGTTGTTTAGAGTTTGTTTTTGTTTTTTCTGTTTGTTAGTTCAGCCAACCTTTGGATTGTTTGTTTCTCTCTTACTAAGGGAGTCCGCGTATTTGTGAGGGCGGACTAACTTTTTTCAGGAGATTTTTTTTGTGCTTTATGTCCTGCGTCTCATTTTCGGGTCACTTCCAACAATATAAGTATTCCATGTTGTCGTTAATCTTAAATATCTGCGACCCGATCCTGTTTTGAGTGTGATCTTGGGTTTAGATTGCATGTTGTTATTCTGCAGTGAATCAAGTGCATCATTAGCTTGCAGTGAATAACTGAAGTGTTTTATGCGGGTTTGTCTGCCTGAAGTGATGTTTGAATTCAGGTCAAATGTTATAGGACTGACAACAGAATGGATAAAGTTAATGGGAAACCCTCTTATTTGTGTAATAACAAATATTGCTAATTAACGTCATTCCTTTTGTTGATTACCTTTCGGTTTGGCGGAGTCATAACATAAGCATACTCATGAGTTAAAATGGCCTAGTCAAAGTCCAGACCTACTAAAAAAAAATACCATTCATCTCAACTTGATTTGGAGAGTCTTAAATTACTCGAAAGGTGGTCCAATGTAATTTATTGACTCAAAGCAAGCACAGACTCTTCTAATTTTTACTCCCAAAACTTTTAGAAGACAACATATCCTTTCCTTCCATTTCAAAAGTATGAGAAAGTATTTCTTCTCCTATGTAGTATAGGAGAAGAAATGTGGAAAAAGCCCAAGAAGGTGTGGATATTTTTGCAAAGCACTGTGAACGAGCCAGCAAAGTTCAGATGTGTCCAACACACCCCCACAGTTATTACTGGATCTGCAACCACTGGCACATTCTCATTGAGCTCCACAAAAACAACAGTCAGGCGCCTGCCAAAGCTGATCCACTGACATGTGCATCACTGCAGATGAGCAAAGCGTTTGTCATTCTGTGTGTCACCCACCTCGAGGGAGGCGGAAAAAAAAAACCCAATGCAAGGCAAGAAATAAAACACCCATAACACTCTGCAGCACATAAAAATCATCAGAGATGGAATGACAGTGTTGACAGACGGCGGCCCTTACGTATCTGCTGATGATGTTCCGGAGCAGGCTGAAATCCATCCTTTGAGACAGCTCCCCGGCGGCGGAGGCTGCAAACTGCGCGACAGAGACGGGTCAGCTCTCCCTGGATCTTCGTAAGCGCTACCTAGAAAAGCGGCTGTTTCCAGCAGGATCCATCTCTCGCCCTCTCTGCCACCACCGCCACCAGCGCTTGTCTGTGATCGTAGCGAGGGTCGGCGGTCTCTCTCTCTCCCGAGTCACTCCACTCCTGTGATTTTCATGGCATCCCTGGAAGACCCACGCAGCTCCCCCCCCTCACCTCCTCTAGCCTTACTCCAAAACCGTTACTCCAGCGTCGCCCGCCACATTTCGGCAGGATTTCTTTCCTCCGCTCGTCTGGTGTCGAACCTCCGGTTCGTACTGTTGTGGCTCCAGGGTTTGATAAAGCGCTTAACCCTGAAACAGATGCGTCTTGGCGGAGACCGAGTGTCTCTCTCTCTCTCTCTCTCTCTCTCTCTCTCTCTCTCTCTCTCTCTCTCTCTTTCTCTCCGTAGTAAGAACCGTGGCCCTCTCTGTGTGGCGCTGTGAAGCATCAACTGCGCGCACTCGTCAGATGACTGCGCGGCGCATGCGCACATGCGCTCCTTTGATCTCAAATTGAAATAGCTCTGATGCAGCGAGCACCTGCTCATGTGGAAACAGAGGATGGCAGAAATCCCACTGCAGTGCATTTTATCTTTGCGCCCAAGAGCAAATCAAATAGAGCTCTTTGGGAAAGAACAAAAAGGATAAATAAATAAATACATCAGAATAGGTTTTATTGCATATTTTAGCTCTAAATTGGTTTGTATATTTATGGATAGCAGTGTGAGGAATTCTTTACATTTAGCCACATTACCACCATTTCAATATATTTTAACTGGATTTTTGAACAGTTAAAAGTATCAACTTTCACTGTGACCACGGCAGCAAGTCTTTTTGTGGTCCGTGTCTATAAACCTTCTCGACGTAACTTCCCCCCCTGTTTTCTTGCAAAATACCTTCATGTAAGCTCAGCCAGACTGGAAAGAAGCAGTTTTTACGATTTACAACAGATTCTCAATTAGACGTGGGTGTATACTTTGACTGGGCCATCCTAACACATGAATAAGCTTCAAACAAAATCACTCCATTCCATTTTCAGTTTATTTATATAGTACCTCTTCATTTAATCTCAAGGAACTGCATTCAAATCATGCAGACAGATTCCGAGTCAAGCACATATATTTTTAGTTATCAAGCAATGTGGTCACGTTCGGTTAAACAGCTGTAAATAATTGGAGAGTAGTAGGAGAAAGTGGTAGAATGGTCATTTTGTAATTCAGCAGCCTAAGCCTACATTACTGTAGCTAAAGAGATAGTTCAAGGTAATCTGAACCAGGCTGACTACAAGCTTTATTAAAAAAGAAAGTTTTAAGCCTATTCCTAAACTTAGACAGGGTGTCTGCCTCACCGGCTGAGACTGGGAGCTGGTTCCACAGGAGATTAGCCTGATAACTTTCCCCTTTTAGAAACTCTAGGAACCTATCTTTGATTTTCAAAGTGTTCGTTAGCAACAAATGAAGCTTAGAGACAAGAATAGAAGCAAACAGATGCATAAAGGTTCATACAATATTTTAAAATACTTTCCATTACTGTGCACACTGTGGGTGCCCTTGTACACAGCAGGTCTTTGACGTCATTTTTCTTCATCAGTATATTTAACCTTTGAGTGTGTTTAGTCAGAGGCATTTCACATGCCCTGAGTGCAAGCAGTTGGTTTCCACACCATGCTTTGTCTAAACCAGAGCACACGCCATGCATTTCAGAGGTCAGGGTGGCAGCTCTTGAGTTGGTACAGTACTCTCCTTGAAATATTTGTCACTAGTCATCAAAGGGCTTTGCAGCATTCTTCTAAAGTGCTCTCAGATTTCGCTTTCCTGCAGGTTCCTAAAAGAGAGAAAAAAATGGCACCAAAAATTCATTTCAGAGTTTGTTTAGTTATTATTAATAACCTTTCTGACACTAAAAAGTCTGTTCTTTGTATTTTACAAACACGTTTCTTCTGACTGGTGGTAATATCAACAGTGATCAAGTAAGACCTGATCTGAATCTGAAAGAGAACCAAAACTAGAGGAAAACGATATTTGATCAGGAATTAAAACATGGCTTTGATTGCTGTATTGCTAATGAAAACTTCCCCAGTGATTGTAGCTGGATAAATAACTTTCATATAAATTTTTCAATAAAATGTAAAGAAATACAGATTTCCTTCTCAAAACAAAAAGTCATTTTATCTTGCTTTATTCTGTTTGGAATAGTACCTTTTTCATTTGTGATAAAAACAACAACATAGCTACAAATCTCCCAAAGAGTATAGAATTTATTTTGGCTTTCTTGTACAGTTTCTTTTGTTTTTCAGTTTTTGTGAGATTGTAGGAACAAATAAATCACTGTATGAAAAGAAAAACAAGAACCACAATGTAATGTCTCAGATTTATTTCCATGAAACAGAAATTTTAGGCAATTTGATTGAGTACTTTCACTTAACATAAAAGGAAACATAAAAGTCAGAAACACAGCCAACATTTAAATATGGGGCCGTTATTGATAAACCGCCTGAAAATGGGCCAGTGCTGTCATGTTGATCAAGACTCTCTTTTTTACTCTCCAGTCAGACAATATGTAGCCAAGCCTCTTGAGTTATATTCTTCTGGACGTCAAACACAATGCAAGGTCCAAATACCAACCGCATAACTGTTCAAGACAAAATCCAAAATTAGCTGCAGCTCAGACGGAGATCCTCTAACAGAAAGGATGTCTGACCCAAACACTCATTTGCACTGTTAATGCTGTCAATTAGGCCAGACCCTATTAATATTGCATGGGGATATAACACTTTCATTCTGACCTGTTAATCCTTGACGCAGCTGTTTCTCTTCGTCTAGACCTTGGGGGCACTAAGACTGCTATGATGAGTCGGCATCAGTGGACACTTTACAGTAAGCTCTTTGTTCATTAGCTGCATCATTCATGTAGCTGCGTTAAAGTCATTTTTATGCACACTATGCAGACATAAAAAATGTATGTTGCTGAGATTCCCGCCATATTGATGAGAATGAATCATTTGGTGCATTAGCTTCTTCATCCTTGATGGTTTTTCAACAATTCTTATACTTATTAATCTATCGCTGAAAATTTTAACTATGATGATCAACACTTTAGATTTGATTTCTAAAATAAAGTGGGCTGAAATTGCCGCTCTGCTTGCGGCCAAGGTTAATATTCCCACAGCTGCTGCTGAGATTATCACATGGGTGACTGACTGCTTTGATTTTGTTCGAGTGGAGGAACTGGGTCATTGTTCTTTTCTTGTTTCTGTCATCTGTGCTTGTGATAATGAGTTACTTCACATAAGGGGCAGTGGGGCACTTATCTCAAATCATCACCAGGTCCGCGTGTGCAGAATGTATAAAGCTGAATTTTTTTTTTTTTAACAGGAACACTTTATTGTTGATATTTTCACAACTACTTTTTGTCAATAAGCCAATCTCCTCCAACATTACTGGAGGATACAGAGTTAGGGATCTTTGACCATTTCTCTTTGCACACATTAGAAATCACCTCGTCTCAGATTCTCACTAAAGTTTTGTTATTTTCAACACCCTAAAAGTTTATATATGATTTAGCTCTGAGGACTGAAATGACAATGGAAGAAGGCTAGGTTTTGTGTCCGATGAACAACGTGTGTTTAATTGACTATGCGTGTTTAAACCACTAAACTGTTGGAAGATAAAATACGAAACCACATTGATTTTGTTTTTGTTGGGTTCAGATTTCTTTTCAAAGTTTCAAATAGTTCATGAAGCCTATAATGTTTTTGGAGTCTTTGGAGGAGATTCCACATATTTCAAAAGCATTCCCAAAAGCAATGGGAACCACAGATCCCATTGCTTTTGCACATATTATAATTTCTTTGTTTTCCATAAACATTTTTGCTTGTGTGTGTTTAATATTATGCAAATGCAATAAAAGGTTAAGACTTTTAACACATCTTTATCTTAGTTGCTAAAAAATTAATTGACACGATTTGGCAAATTAAAGTGCAACTGACTGGTGAAATTCAATCCAATTCATCCAACTCAAACACCAACAAATCATGAGAGACAGGAGCAGAATAAACCTTATTTTCCCTGGAAGCATAAAATCTGAGCAGAGAGGGAGCAGGGCATATATCTGTAAGCAGTGATGGAGAGTTTTGAGTGAGAGCAGTTCAGTTTCTCAGAGTGAAAATATGGAGTCGCGCTCTCCAATTGAAAACGGAGAGCAATTGAAAAGTTTCTCTGGAAGAAACATTCCCCCAATGGATTCAAACTTCAATGTGCTGACTGCTGTGTTCACTGCAGGGAAATGAGTGACAGTTGCTGTGTCAGTGAGGGAATGAAGTTGTGTCTGTACATTTCAAGGTATTTTTAGTTATAGAAGCTTGTGCTGACTCAAGATGGTTTACTCCACAGAAAAGGAAAAATGGACAAATCAGCCAAGTCCCATATGCTGACAAGTTGTATAGTGGCTGCTACACTACTAAAATATTTATACAGGAGATTTTCAGTACACGTTTTCTTGTAGTTTTCATCAGAACAGCTCCTGTGAGCCGCTGACACTGCATTGCTGTCAGCACAAAATCCCAGATCCTATTATACTGAACACATAGAAATGACACCCATATCCAGTTCTTTTGCTTTGGAAAATTGAGAATATGAGGAATATTGCAGAGAGAAACAACAGCATCAATATTAAATGAGCAGTTGCCCCGTAAAGCTTTAGAATCTGCTGTAGATACTCTACAAAGGGTTGAGGACATTGTTTAAAAGACCTGACCAGATTATTAATGGAACTGTTTATTGACAATATTTAGAAATTGAAGCCTGCACTTGTTCTATTTTTTTGTAATTGTATATTTGGATGAGGTGGAAAATGTGCTTAGGCTCGCTTTTACATTGCTTGTTGCAGAACAGCCTGAACTTTGATGGTTTCAATTCATTAAGTGCAGTTATCAACAGAAATTAGGTACATGTTGCACAGTGAGATCAGCCGATAATTGAATTAGGAGATTAGGTTTACCACAAATCCTCTGAGGGTATTAGTAAACTATTTAGTTTAATAATTTCAATGCATAGTGAAAGTTTTCACACAGTGTGAACTTTTCTTTTCTATTTTGTCACATTAAACTACTGAAGGTATTTTTTCTGGATTTTAAAAAGCATCAAAAACAAAGACATTGATAATTATTAAATAGGAAAAAAATATTTTCAAAGGCTTGGACTTTCATATACTTTCTTTACTCTCTTACCTTTGAAAAAAAATAAAATGCAAAAAATTATCTTAAAAAGTCAGCTAATTAGTAAATGGAGTGTTTCTTTGTAATATGTAATAATCGTGGAGGAAATAAGCAACAATTAAAATCATACAACAAGAGCCACAATGTAAAGTAGAAAAGTAGTTTAATCAAATTATAAATTCAAACCCAATCCTGAGAAGAGACACTCACAGTCTGATTGAGCTT